AGCTCTGGGAGGATTGGCTACACTAGGGGTGTGTGGCCTAATATGCAAAGGAGCTCCTGCTACCAGTAGAGCCCTCAGGCCTATGAAAAGTAAGGGCTGCTCATGCACCTATGTAAGAAGCCCTGCTTAAGCTACTGCTCATGAGTAGCCCGAACTAGGAAGAAGCAGAGGCACAGGGTTTGTTACAGGGCATTTTGGGGGCCCACCCCCTTAATTAAAAGCCCTAGCCCAGAAATAGCCATGCCAGAAGCCTTATTTTGGTGGGAGGGGTATTTCTTATATGTGCATGCATGTGTGTGTGCAGAAACCTTATTTTTGAGGAACCCCCCGCCCCCACAGGCAGCAGCACCATGGCTTGCCCTCAGGTCTCCCTCTCCCTCCCACTGTGGAATTCTTAGGGGGTGGGTGGCATCATGAGACCTGGGGGGGGGGAATAGCTCAGAAGGTATCTGCCTTTTGCGTTCCCTTCCACAGGTCAAGAAAGCTTAGAAGAGCACTCAAGAGGGGCCCCTTCAATAGAGCTGAAACAATCCCGCTTTCTGCTAGCCCAGTCCTGCTATATACCACCTATGTTCCCCAAAGGCTCATGGGAATGCTTCTGAAAGACTCACCATGACCTAGGTGGTATACAGCAGGACTGGGCTAGCAGAAAGGAGGATTATTGAAGGTGCCACTCTTGAGTGCCTTTCTAAGCTTTCTTGCCCTGTGGAAGGGAACTCAAGGAGTCTCAAAGCAGCTCACAATCACATTCCGTTCCTCTCCCCTCAACAGTCACCTTGTGAAGTAGGTGGAGCTGAGAGAGTTCTGGGAGAACTGGGACTGGACCAAGGTCACCTAGCAGGCTTCATGTAGAGGAGTGGGGAATCCAACACAGTTCTCCAGATTAGAGTCCGCCACTCTTAACCACTACACCACACTGGCTCATTTACCTTGTTCGCCAATCAAATTGTGCTGAGACACATGGGCACCATTTCACATTGCCACCATTCTTGCTCACACCAGAGTCTGTCAGTGTCCTTCTAGTCAGCTCTGATAGGAGGAGACCAGGAGGAGCATGTGTACAATCACTTAGCTACTTTGGGACCTAATGACTCAGGGTCTTTCTGTTCCCTCTGGATGAGAGTTCTCTTGGACCCTACCAAGGCTGTTCCAGTTCTACTTTCACACACATTCACACACACACCCCTTAATATCTCCTCTGGCACAGTCTAGGTTCTTTTTCGTCTATTTGTTCTGCCACACGATTCATCGCATCTATAACTGTTTCATTAATTTAAATCATTTTGTTTACACCACTTCCAACTACAAGATGTTTTCTACTCTCTTTATATATGCACATAATGTATGCACCGTCATGTGGCAACCAACTTATGGTGACCCTAGCAAGGCCCTTTCAAGGCAAGTTAGATGCAGAGGTGGTTTGTCATGACTAGGGTTGTCAGATCTGGGTTGGAAAATACCTGGAAACTTTGGGGGTGGAGCCAGGAGAGGGCAGGGTTTGAGGAGGGGAGGGGCCTCAGCATAGGACAATGGTATAGAGTCCACCCTTCAAAGCAGCCATTTTCTCCAGGGCAGCTGATCTCTGTCAGCTGTAAAAGCGGGATATCCCCAGGCCCCACCTGGAGGCTGGCAACCCTAGTCATGACTCATGGCCTTCCTCTGCAGAGTCTTCCTTGGTGATCTCCCTCCTTAGCTTCTGAGATCTGACAAGATCAGGCTATTATACCATACCATTCCACATCTCTCTCCTCTCTCTAGACCATGTTAAATGTTAGAGTAAGTGGATGTAAACTGGATGCTAAACATTTTGCCATGGTCTTAATCACAGTTGTAGAATTTTAAAATCACAATAAATAAGACCACAACACGCACAAAAAAATTACCATCCAGTCCATATCCTCTCATTGATCTCCAAGTAAGATTCAAAATTGTATTTAATCAAAGAGTTCTGGATGATATTAATTTAATTCTTTTTCATGTTAAACAAGACCACTGCAAAAAAAACACACACACACACACACCCCACAACATCCAGTTAAGATGCCTGTTGTATGCATTTGTAATCCCGCTGCATATTTCTTAATGTCGGGGAAAAGTATTCTGGTTTGCAGTTTGGAGGCAGATACCAGTGCCACCACACCGCCGTGATCCAGATGCCTCCGGAGATCGTCAGTAAGGGCAACCAGCGCCGTCTCTGTCCCATGGCCAGGGCGGAAGCCGGACTGAAGTGGATCCAGGACAGAAGTGTCCTCCAGAAAGCTCTGCAGCTGTGTCGCCACCGCCCTCTCGATCAACTTGCCCAAATAGGGCAAGTTAGACACCAGCCGATAGTTGGCCAATTTGGCCGGGTCCAGAGTTGGTTTTTTCAGGAGGGCGGACCATCGCCTCCTTGAGTGCCTCGGGGAACCGTCCCTCAGCGAGGGACTTGTTAACAATCTCCCGTATGGCACCTCGAAACCCCTCATGGCCCGCCTTAATGAGCCAAGAGGGGTACGGATCCAGGAGACAAGACCACTGCAAAAAAACCACAAAACCCCTCACAACATCCAGTTCAGTTGCCTGTTGTATGCATTTGTAATCCCGCTGCATATTTCTTAATGTCGGGAAAAAGTATTCTGGTTTGCAGTTTGGAGGCAGTCACTGAAGTTCACCTAGTGAATAATCGGTCACTGTTGCCTCTTATGCTTTCAGATGGCCAATGAGCTGCTGGAAGGAACTGATGGTTATTAATCCTAAAAGTGGCCGGAGAAGGAAGAATTAAACCCGCAGCCCATCCTGTTGCTCTGATCGAATTCTCAGCCCCAGGCATACTGGTTTGGTTTGGTTTTAATAAGAAAAATGTCCTCTAACCTGTCCCAGAAAGTCTCCAAATGCTCTGGACGTTTATCTCCAGGGAGCACCATGAACAGCCAGCAGAATGACAAGCCTGGGGAGGATCGTTAAACTTCGGCCCTGTTTTCCACCGGGGACAGAAGTTGGTTTCCCGCACGTCGGGAACGCTCCTTCAGGGGGCACGCGAGCAAGCAGCAGGTGCAGAGGCGGCGACAGTTTCTATGCGCCGGCTTAATGCTCACTCCCCCTCCCCCCCCCGATTTTAAGCGAGATCCCTCGGGATTGCAATAAATAGAAATGGTGCGCATTGCAATACAGACTGAGGCAACAGATCAGGAGGCGACCGGCTCGCTTTGAAGAGATGGGAGAGCCTTTGGGCGCCTCTGCTCCTGT